ACGATTGATAATGATTTTCAAATAGTTATCGTACCTGAAAATATTTTAAAATTATATACAGGTATATATTTAATCTTATCTTAAAATCTATCAACTGTCTAATATTTTGAAGCGTAATTTTCAGAGCTTCTTTTAAGAACCGTTAACAAAAGGTCACTTTCTATACAGCTTAACTTTCTATTAGATACCATATCTGCTAGTTTTTTATAATTAAAACAAAATTAAGATTACTCTAGTGGCCTACGTGAAATAGATGACATTTTAATTGTTGTTTTTAATTATTTTACGTGACAAAACGAGACAAAGGTTTTTCTTGTGTTTCTACTTCGTTAAAGATTAATTAATCTATAAAAATCCGTGCCCGTGCCAGCTTGTACTTGTGCCGTTGCGCAAGTTCTGTACTTCGCGGAAGACGGACGGGCGTGGAAGTTCTCAACCCCGACACGGCACGTCTCACTGACTGATAGAGAAATATCACACCTATCCTACAGATATGTAGGATAGGTGTGAATAAGGTTTTATCAAATAAGCACCTGCGGACCAATTGAGGACATGGCATAGGACAGCAGCTATGACATTACTTCATTATAACTATAGCTGAATGATTTCTGCTGTTGGCTTAATGACAGATACTCACGGGCGGATATCACATAATGATTTAACCAGCCGTGATACTGCGATCAGGCAGGCAAGGGGAAAAACACCTGATTATATTCACGTGACTACATCATCATTAATGTATCGAATCAGTTAGATATGCTTAGCGATCCGATTAGTAATCAGCGCTCAGTTGGTTCCGGGCCAACTAGTGTCAAGTGGGCTACCGGGCATGTATTTGTGAGCAACCAGGCTACACATGCGAAATTGGCGCTTGGAAGAAAATCAAATTTTCAGTTAAGAAAAGCAATGGGAAAAGCTGACGAATTTCGTGACGTTTGTTTAACCGATGTAACCAACCACTGGGTGCATTAAAAGGTTCTTTGATTTTCAAATTTTTGTGAAAAAGCTCCGCTTGCTTAGCACATATTTGTCCCGAAATTGGAACACTCTCAGATCTTTTCTGAAGAAACCACTTGGAAAGCGCTTCTTCCAGTTGTTGAAAAATCGATCCTTTCAACGATTTCACCGATAAAAAGGTAATATTTCACCTTTTCGATGTAGCAGTCTGGAACTCTTATCATTTGTACAATTCTAGTACAAAGAAGATCAAGTGCATTGAGTTTAGAGAAGCCGTGGTAAAATTACTAATACAGATAGAAGACGCTAATGATGGTAGAAGTTTTGTGCATTACCAAAAAATAAAAAGTAAATCAAAAACATCTACCGTGCAACACTTTTTGGAAGAAATCCGTCTTCCCGACCATTACAAGAAGGCCCATTTTTTCCTGAGATGCAGACAGTGTACTGTAAAAAAAACGCAAGGAGACAAGATACAGATGCGAGTCATGTCCAGAGAAGCCACCCCTATGTCCTGCACCTTGTTTTAAATTGTGGTATCAATAGATATGTATTATGTAAGAAAAATAAAGGTTATTTTGGCAAAAGCAAGGAGACGTCTATAGCCGCCTGTGTCACAAATGGTATAGAAAAATGTTTATATTGTGCCACGAATTTTCGTTTAACCCTGGTTGTTGACATTTTGAAAATAAAAACACGTTATAAGAATAATCAGAGTAACGACTGATTTCTAGCTTCCATCTAAATATGTACTAAAGTAAAGTTCGTGTAACCTTCTGGCTAAAGTCTAGTGTTAGGATTTTCAGGTTGCGCAAGCGCCCCTAGCATGACTTAAACGGCTACTTTCGTAGCCGGGACCGACGGCTTTACGTGCCCTCCGAAACATGATGGCAGCTCAGTTTGATTAGTAATTGAAAATTTTGTCGGTGCCGGGATACGAACCCGGGCTCTCCAACTTATTACGCCAGTAACATAGCCACTGAGCTACGGCATTCACAGATATGTACTAAATTATGTACTACATCTCACACATTCGATGTAACACGCATATTATAAGCTACCGGTTTCCAGGGATACCCCGAGCACTGACGCTATGGTTATAACATTACGCGCCTCTCCCACGGCGTAGTAATTTGCGGTCATTCTGATAAAACGCCAATTCAATGTTAAGTAGCACGGATAATCCGCAGGATAATCGAGGTTCTACTGTATTAAAGTAATTTTAGTAAAGTAAAGACCAACCCTGTATTTAGTCCTTTGCTATAAAATTGGGCTATCAATCATTTTCAAATGTACTATAATTATTAATAATTTAATATGTATAAATGAAATTTATTTCAAGTTTTACAGATACTGACTGATTTAAGATACTGACAACACCAGAAAGATTGTTAGAAGTTGCACAAACAGGAAACCTGGAACTTCCACATTGTCTGTGTACCGGGTGGTCCAATAAGCCGATCTCTCGGCTATATATCAGAAACTATTCATGTTATAACTTTAGGAGAAAAAATTCCTTAGTAAAAATGGCCAAGAGAAATCGCTGGAAATAACGTTCAAGATTCTGGATTAACCGCCAGGGGGCGTAACCTGCGAAGAAAATTTTGAAAACCAGTTTTTTGGGAAATATGTCCAATTATACCAAGTGTTAAATAAGTAAACTAGAAAGAGGCATAAATTCTGCACAAAGTTGTTCAAGTACCTTTTTTATTTTTTTAAATAAAGGGTGGGGGAGAGTGGGAAAGTATTTGTGGATAAATACCTATAACTTTGGTTTGGATAAACCGATTTTAACAGAATTAGTGTCATTAGAAAGAGTATGGATGAATTAATTTATATCTACTATAAAATAATTGCATTTAGTTTTAATTGTCGTAGGTAGAGGGTACTTTCGAATAGAAAAAATTAAAATTTATTTTTCTTCAAAATTTTTAATGGAAACACCTATTTATTGTAAATTATAATGGAACTGGATTAAATTCGTAACAAAATGGCGGAAACCGCATGTTAATACCTTTTATCGAACTCGAGATATGAATAAAAACGCATAAACATAAGTAAGTATAGTATTGACACACCCTGTATTATAAAATAAATTAAAAAATAAGTCAGTACTTTCAAAAATTTTTATAGCAGAAAACTCTTAATGTTGATACCTATTTTGACCATTGTTATTTCATATGATTAAAAATTGTTTTTTCGAAACTAAGTAGGCTACGACAATTAGTTTGACAGGAAGTTTATATTGTTTATTTATTGACAGCAGTCAAAATATTGTTAAGAAGTGTTATATGTATTATAATTCGAATTGAAAATTGCATTTTTTTCAATAGATATTAATATTGGTAATATTAGTAATTAATTATCAGTACTAATAATTCGTGATGAGTATATCAAATTGTATGATATGATTGGAGTTTATTTCGAATATCACCAAAATGGCGCTATTGCCTCACGTATATATTCTGTAAGATATCCTGGCAGGAGATATTGTGGCAAAGAAGTAGATATTTCGGACCACTTATATGTGGATTCTGTTGAATTAAAGCAAGAACATTGATTGAATTATCTTCGGTCATAACTCTACTACGCCGTTGAAAACAAGGACGAAAAAAACTACCAGTTTCTCTTAATCTTTTTGCCTTTCTTTCAAATACTTCTTTGCCATAATGTCTCCTGTCACGATATCTTACAAAATATATACGTGAGGCAATAGCGGCATTTTGGTGACATTCGAAATAAACAATTATTTGTACTGATAATTAATTACTAATATTACCAATATTAACTTAACAATGTTTTGACTGCTGTCAATAAATAAACAATATGAACTCCCCGTCAAATTCATTGTTGTAGCCTACTTAGTTTCGAAAAAACTATTTTTTACAAAATAGATATCAACATTAAGATTATTCTGCTAAAAAAAAATTGAAAATACCTACTGACTTATTTTTTAATGTAATTTATAATACAGGGTGTGTCAATACTATACTTACTTATGTTTATGAGTTTTTATTCATATCTCGAGTTCAACAAAAGCTATTAACATGCGGTTTGCTCCATTTTGTTACGAATTTATTCCAGTTCCATTATAATTTACAATAAATAGGTGTTTCTATTAAAAAATTTGAAGAAAAACAAATTTTAATTTTTTTTATTTGAAAGTCTCCTCTACTTACGACTATGAAAACTAAATGCAAGTATTTTATAGTAGATGTGAATTAATTCATCCACACTCTTTCTAATGACACTAATTTCATTAAAATCGGTTGGACTAAACCAAAGTTATAGGTATTTATCCACAAATACTTTCCCACTCTCCCCCACCCTTTATTTGACAAAATAAAAAAAAAGTACTTAAACAACTTTGTGCAGAATTTATGGCCCTTTCTAGTTTACTTATTTAACACTTGGTATAATTGGACATATTTCTTAAAAAACTGGTTTTCAAAATTTTCTTCGCAGGTTACGCCCCCTAGCGGTTAATCCAGAATCTTGAAAGTTATTTCCAGCGATTTCTCTTGGCCACTTTTACTAAGGAATTTTTTTTCCTAAAGTTATAACATGAATATTTTCTGATATATAGCCGAGAGATGGGCTTATTGGACCACCCGGTACATCAAAATTATCAAAAATATAAATATCAAAATTACAAATTTGACTGTCAGTTTTACAACATGCCTGAAAGTGTTGTGACAAGCGTTAAAAACCGCTTCTTCCGATTGTGTATACATCCCTGTTGTACGGTGATTTATTTATTTGAATATTTAAAAGTTTCAACTTCTGTCTTCCCACCCCCACATAAATCACAGAATCCATCCTAATCCATCGCCCAGATCACCGGTACTCTTCTAGAAAAATCACGTACGCCCGAATTTCGAAAATCCTAAATATACCCCCGAGGGAAACGAGCGGCCAACGGTCCGTTCCAACGCCAGTGAAAGGTGTCTCCGAACGAACCGAATTTCGAACACCGAACTGGTCGACTGGATTCCGTAGTGGGGATGCCACAAACACAAACCGTAGGGGAACGTCAGTAGCTACTGGTTCAACAGCGAGAAATGATCGTATTGTAACTAAATAATCATTGAAATAAGGTTGTGTTAATGTTTTAAAATGTTCGAAGAGCTGTCGTTGATTAGAAAACGGTAGTTCGATATAGAAAAATCCACGTAAAGTGTTCGTATAATGTTATAAAGTGATAAATACACTGCCCGAAAATGTATAAGCTTCTAGGAGGACTAGCCAATTATTTTAAATATCAAGAAATAGTGACGGATTGTGCAATTTTCCGCATGCACAATATCTTTACATGTGCCTTATTGAGTGCATGCAGTTTGATAGTGACTGCCAATCAATTCGTAGGGAATCCCATTCAGTGCATAGTCGATGGCCTTCCCAATCATGTCGTCAACACCTACTGCTGGATATCTTCCACCTTCACCATGCCTGACGCCTTCCAGAGACAGGTAAGTGTCACATCTGACCCACAACATATCTATACGCATATGTGTAACTGTCAACCCATATGATTTTTGCTGTTCTGCAACATTTTTTAATATTCATAATGCCTCGTATCTGGTTTGTTTTTGTTTGATGTAGTTGCTAAGGCGACGCGAAATGCTTTTTTGTTGTTTTTGAATGATGTAAGTGAACCGGAACTGGCAGATAATACAAATAGACCGGGTGCTATTACTAAATAAATACAATTTCAATATTTGCAAAGAGTTGATGTTGCCATTCCAAGAGTTGTAACTGTAAATATTATGTTTTTGGAGTGCTTACACTACTGATTTCATCAATAATTGTTTATATTTAATTTTGTTCAATTAATACCGAATAAATAGCAAACACATTAAATCAACAGTTAATGTAAAATTAAAGCTTTCAACAAAGTTGAGTGCTGGATTTTCCCGCCATTTCGTTCTACAATAGTACAACCATTATGATACTCCAAAGCCATTTTGTAACTTTTAATTTCATTACTTTAATGAGGGCAAAAACGTAGGATAAACATTTCATATAATTTTCAAAACATTAGTGGCAAAGAAAAGCTTATTTTGATGATACTAGTAAATATATGTTTATCACACCCCTGTATATATGAGGTAAACAAGTAACTTTTTACACGTGACCTTTATGCCTTGTAGCACTCAAGGTCATACCTTGAGTGAATTTATACCCTCCGGTGAATAATTTAATGGACAGCAGGAGAGGAGTGTGACGTCACGACTGTCACATTGTCATTATTACTTTCCAAACAAAAGTTGAAATGTCAAATCTCAAGACTTTTTAATTTCTATAAAGTTAACATTTTGCTTCCTCTGCTGCTTTTTCTTGTAAGCATAGTATTTTTTACGATAATACCATCATAATTCAGAGTTCTATTTCTATGAAATATAGTTTAAAAGTTTAAATTAAAGAAATTCTAACCTTACTTTATTGATACATGCATTTTATAGCTATTAGCATAAAACAATGTGCTTTATTATTTACACAACCTTGTAAACTTGTTGTAGTAACTATTAGAATACTTAGATATTGCAAAAAACGGAAAGATTCTATAAAATAAATAAAAAAATAACTAAAAATACAAATTATCCACACTAAACCAGGTTTGTTTGGAAAGTGAAACTGACAGATGTCAATAAAATCTACGTCATCACTCCTGTGGTCCATTCAATGTGTGTATGTCACTTGTCATAAGTATGGTCGCCATATTGGTGTGGCATAAATTTTATGTCGGTAAAAGCCGGTACTGTTTTGTTTTGAAAAATTTTCAAAACATGGATTTATATTAAGTGTTTCTATTAATTTTTCTTCTCTTTGGTTATGTTTTTGGGCAAAAGTATAGAGAAAGTGTCGATGAATTTGACATAAACGTCATGTCAAATTTGTGTTTGCGGTATTGCCATGTCTTTATTATGTATATGTTTTATGCCTCAAATATGCTTTGAAACAGTTCATTTTTATTATATTCTTTTATAAAATCAGGTATTTTTTAAAAAAATTTAAATTCATATGAAACACGAACGAATGAATATTTGTTTCTTTTGATATTAGTTGCAGTTAGTTATAAAAAAAAAATTATAATTGGCCTTTAGTAGATTAGTAAATAAACTTGGCAATACTGTCAAAAGTAGTTGCCAGATTGCAACAGTTGTTTAGTGGATTTCAATTTTATGAATAATTTCTTATAATTTTGGGATGAAATTGTATCTGAATAAAAGCTTAAAAAACTAAAGTTAATTTACATTATAATCAATTAAATTTAAATTAATTAAACTTCTTTTTAAAACTTAAAAAGAAAATTTAGTAACATTAATTAATATTATATCGCATGCTCTTTCGTGATTTATTTGTGATATATGGCAACACCGCAAACACAAATTTGACATGACGTTTATGCCAACTTCATCGGCACTTTCTCTATACTTCTGCCTGTTTTTGGTATGTTAGTATTGATAGAGACCATGATAATTGAAACTAATTTTTAAGCGCTTTCTTTTTTCGACGACTCCACCATGACCAGACTTGTTTAACTATCTATAACTTTTTTATAAGACAAATTAGAAAAATGGAAAGAGAATGCAATAATATTTTTTGTCTGCATAATAAAGAGAAGATAAAGGTTTCATTGATCAATGTTTGTTAGAATTTATTCCAAACTCTAAGAAAGATTACCACGAGGAAATGACTTCTGAAAGAGACGTACAAAACAAAAGTCATCTATCTATCTATCTAATTAGCTTTCTTCGGTCCATCTTTGTACATAGGCCTCCCCAATCTTTTTCCATTCTTCTCTGTCTGTCGCTACATTCATCCATCTAGAGCCCACGTGCTTCTTGATATCATCTGCTCATCTCATTTGGGGCCTTCCTCTGCTTCGTTTATATTCCCACGGTCTCCAACTTATAAGAATTTTGTTCCATCGGTCTTCTTTTTGTCTTATATTGTGTTCGGCAAATCTCCATTTCAATTTTGCAACTTCTTGTCTAATATCCCTCACTTTTGTTTTCTCTGTTATCCACTCGTTTCTCTCCTTATCCATTAGTCTTATGTGCAACATTTGTCTTTCCATTGCTCTTTGGGTTTTGATGATTTTGTCCATGTTTGCTTTTGTAGATGTCCACGTTTTTGAACCATAAGTAAGAACAGGGAGTACGCATTGATTATATACTTTGGTCTTAAGATGCTTTGGATATCTTTTTCTATTCTATTTCATCTTGTCCGATCTCATTGTGATGTCTTCATCTGTATTTGTTATAATTTTGGTCTTGCTGTAATTCATATTAAGGCCTATCTTTCCAGCTTCTACGTCCAGTTCTTTCATTATTTCAAATAATTCTTCCTTTTTATCGGTAATCAATACGATGTCATCAGCGTACCTTAGATGGTTCAAGCGTTGTCCACAAATTTTTATACCTTTTTTTTCCCATTCTAATCTTTTAAAAGTATCTTCAAGAGCCTGATTGAAAAGTTTCGGTGATATTGTATCACCCTGTCTCACGCCTCTACTTATCAACAAAAACAACTACAAAAGTCATCAACATGTAATAATTACAAGATAATTTCGTCGGAAGGTCCAAGTGTTTGTTTAATGAAATGAAAATTTTCTCATCGATGCACTTTCTGAAGTATCACCATGGCATTAGGGCATTGAATGGTCTATCTTTTATATTTGCCACCATTTCTACCTAATTGCTTTTCTATTTTTCTACATTGTGTCATTTCCATTATACTTATTACAGATGATGTTGATGCATTTACCCAAATAAAATAATATGTTTGGAAATTCACTGGTCGAGAAAAACAAACTTTTTCCATCTGTCAAAACAACTTACCTTTTAAACGCACATCCATTAGGGAATCGTACGTCGTTTGTTTATTTAAATATTTTATCTATGTATTTAAAAATAGATTAATTTTATTCCGTCTGAATATTAGAAATAGTGTTAAGTAATACTGGTAGGTACTTATATAGTATGTGTATGTAAATTTTTGTCTATTTTACGTATTTGGTACACTGATAAGAGAAGGCATCCACCATGGGCGTCGATTGGGAATTTCCAGGAAGAATCAGTGTTTTGACTTTACTGGCGTCTTGGTAGGTCTAATAACATCCCATAAGAAATTACGAGTCAATGGACGCTAAAATAGACCAACAATAATATTATTTGTGTTCTTGTTTACTGACAAGTATTTCTTCATAAAACAAATTGGAATTTTTGGTCCGAACATTATATTTACATTTCTTTTACTCTTTTCCTGTGAGATTCCAACCAGGTACCAATGTATAATGCATTGCACGTGTTGCTCAAGCTCAAACTTGTAAATGCCTATAAAAATTTATATCAAAAATGTGAATTTCTTAGAGTTGAACTGAACAATATTATTCTTATAGATTTTTCTAGTGGAACAGTCATTTCCTGGTTAAGTACTTTCTTGTTCTTATAAAGTTTACACACACTAAAAAAAAACGAGTAATTACATGAAAATACTTAAAATTATGTCTTAAGCAAATGAATTAATAACGGACCCTAGCGATATACTTAATACTTGGAAAATGTACACAGCCAATTTGTTCAATGATGACAGAACACAAAAACCACCACAACTGGGAGACCATTTGTATGGCCCAAGTATTTTGAAAGCTGAAATTGTACACGCTATCAAACTATTAAAAAGTAACAAAACCCCAGGACCAGATGATATATACGCAGAACAATCAAGTTACTTAATGAAGAAAACCTAGACATTATTGTCAAGCTCTTTAACAACATCTACGATACGGGCCAGATTCCAAAAGATTGGCTTCGATCTACATTTATCGCCCTACCAAAAACACCACGTGCGAACTTCTGCAAGGACCACCGACTAATAAGCCTAATGAGTCACTTTTTAAAACTTTTCCTGAGAATACTTCACACTAGATTGTTTAAGAAATGTGAAGAGGTCAGTGGATGGAGTCAGTTTGGTTTCAAAAACGGACTTGGCACGAGAGAAGCGATCTTTAGTATGCAAACATTGATACAGAATTGTTTAGATCAAAGAAAGGATGTTTTTATCTGTTTCATCGATTACGAGAAAGCATTCGATAATGTAAAACACGAATTGATGATAAAATACCTACAAGAGTTGGGATTGGATGCAAAGGATATAAGAATCATCGACAATCTGTATTGGAATCAGACAGCAACAGTACGTCTTCAAAATTCCAACGAAACAGAAGATTTCTCCATTAAAAAAGGAGTAAGGCAAGGTTGTATACTGTCCCCAATGCTATTCAATTTATACGTAGAAAAAGCCTTCGCAGAAGCAGTGGAAGACTCTAATAAGGGTATTAAAGTTAACGGCATATTTATTAATAACATCAGGTATGCCGATGATACAGCCATAGTGGCAGATAACATCGAAGATCTTCAATGCCTTTTAAATGATCTAATTCTTGCAAGTGAAGCTCAGGGTT